AGGCCAATTTGTCTTGTTCGTAGCTGCCGCACTTTGGTATGGCAATCCAATAGGTTTGGATGAAACTTAAGCATGCACATCTATCGACTGCGAAATTAGTAAAGAGTTTTAGTTCATAGGACTACAACATACAACAAAAAAATAACTAAAGTAAACGAAGAATATCAATAGTAATGAGGACTTAATAAATAAAGGGAAAGAGGTTTGGTCATAGTCACTCCAAAAGCTAAGGCGTCAAATGGGTTGTTTAAGATAGACTTTAGATGCCAAATACAACATTACCAGTTGCAAATGCATTAATGGCCTACCCTTTTAACATATAATTGCTTTTAATGCTCCATGTTTAATGTTCCTCAATAGCAAAACATGATGAGAATCTAAATGTAAATTCATGGCATGTCAGTAATAAAAGACATTGTAAAACATAGAGGACACTGCAACAAACATATATATGCCAGAAATGAAGGTGAAATTATATAATGACCGGGCAACATATCAAGTAATTGCTCCAAATATACTACCTTATCACGATGCCTTTCGAGTTACGTGCATGCAGAATTGTCTTCTAAAGCTATAATTCAATACAGATTCAATTGTAAAATTTCAAGAACATGTAAAAAAATCCAATTCATTCACGATATATCAGTCTCATAATCAACATGAACTTATTAAAAAGAATACGAGCTCACATGATGCCGAAAACCACATGTTAGATCAATACAATTCCCAGTAAACTAGTACCAGCAGCCTCTCGGATAGAGCCTGGTGATTTCACTATTTCGATACTCACAACCAATTCCCTGATTTAAAGAAAAACCAAACAAGAAGATCAAAAAAATTTAGCCTAAGACCCTCTTTCACTTCTATTCTGATGGACTGAATATCTTTCATAAGGAGTACTAAAAGTTTTGATTAAGAACAAAGAAAGAAAATTAGATGGTTTTGGTTCAAAACTAACACTAAATATCCATATCCTTGACATATAGTTCCAGAAACATAAAAATTTCAACAAAAAACGCACAATGTGAGCTGAAAATGGGAAAGTGTGAAAGAGAGAAAACTTACTTCCAGATAGCCCAAAAGAAAAAATAAATACCTTCTTACAAGTGAGGGGAAAAGCTAAAAAATAAACGCAATCGGTGTTGCATTCCAGAAATTCTTCCTCCATTTTTTCTTTGTAAATAAAAAGTTGAAAGACATATCACTGTTTGGGTTTACAATTTTACATGGCGTAAAACTGAAGAACAAAAACCAAACGAGAATGCGTGTGAGCGTAAGAGACTGAGAGGTGAAGGTGTTGTTTGATATTTCATTATATTTGATCATATGTTGAAAAAAATTTAACCACAATGATTAAACGAAGAAATTATTATATGTCATTTATACAAAATAATTCCAGTTTTGTTGGTGACTTTCAACAATGATATTTAGTTCATCTTAGTAGTATTTGTCAACTATGCATTTCTAACCTCATTTTTTCTCACAAGCATTTCATCGAACATCTATGCTTCACCTAAGATAACTTGTATCTAACATTACACCTTGAATCGTTGATAGTCCCGATAGTCTCTTGGTCTGGTCTTCTCTCAATGGACCCTTATTCAAGTCAACACCTCCACATAATTCAAAGTTAGATTAGAATTTCCCATGCATCCCCGACTGAAAAGTTACGCTGGAAATGAGAAGAGAGAAGCAAAAAATGAAATTTGAGATCGAAAATGAATTTGGGGTTTAGAATGAAATTGAGGATTGTGTTGCAAGTTTTAAAAGTTTGAGGACCTAAATGCAAGCGCCTGAAAAGTTCAGTGACCATATTGCAAACGTACTAACGGCAGTGTAACAGTGTCAAACGGCTGGTTACATCAAGGACCATATTGCAAACAGACTAAATGTTTGAGGACTGTATTGCAAGTTTCAAAAGTTGGGGACCTAAATGCAAGATTAAGAAAAGTTCAATGATCATTACTATACTTTACCTTTTTTTAATTGTAAATTGGACGATGAAGATTGGATGACGCGCTGGTACTGGACAGTGGGTGACACGTGGTTTGAAATGAGGTAGCATACCCCACTCACGCTCTACTCTACTCTCTTGTTGCTTCTGCTGAAACAGTCTTTTTGTTTTTTCAATTTAAAATGAAGGCATAAACTAATCGCCACGTGTTTGCAGTCAAACTATACAGTTATTAATCTTTGACGGGTAGGATTACGATTTCATTGGTAACTTTTTATTTTTTTATTCGCTTAATATTACAAATGTTTTATAAAATTAAAATAAAAAATTTAAAACATTATTTTAATGTTTAATTAATAAAAGTAACACTAAAAGATTATTTACATAAAGAACACCTATTCAATCACATAAAACAAAGAATAACCTAATCAGAAATATTTTATTAAAAATACAATTAGATATGTCTTTTATCTTAATGTGACACTCCAATTAAAAGATGCTCTTAATCATCATATCTTTTAAGGAAAAAAATTCAATCGAAAATCATTTGTTTAATAGTTTAGGATTTTAAGAAAAAAATATTAGGATTATACGAAAGATGGTTTAGATTCAAGTTTAGGGTATCGTGTCATTTATTGCATCACGATACAAAAGTCAGATTCATAATTTAATTTGAAATCATTCACTTTAACTAGATCTAATTTGATAGGGTTAAATCTTTTAAAGAAAAGATTCAGGTTCAAGTCGAGTTTGGTCAGATTTTTTTTTACGGGAGTAAGGTCGGGTCATGTTCAGATAGATGGTGAAAAACTCCGACCCGATTCGATGATAATGATGTAATTTATTTAAATAAATTTATGGATAATTATTATGATATCCTCTCTATTTATTATTATTTTTAATCAATCGGGTCGGATATATACTCTAAAAATTCAGATCGGGTATGGGTGGAGTGAAATATATATATATATATATATATATTTATTTATTTATTTATTTATATTTCCGGGTCAGGTCAGATCAGGTGGAGGATATATAATTTTTAGACTAATTTAGATTCGGATGAAGAATATATATTTTTCGAATCAAGTCAAATAAATTAAAAACCTGGTTTAAGCCGACTTTTCGCCATCCGTAAATAAGAACATTGTAGAAACTTATGTTATAACAAGAAAAAATATTCAATTATCTTAGCTTCTCGCAACTCATAATCGTAATATTTTTAAAATCTTAAATTATTGAATAAATTATTTTTTATTTAAGAAATATTTCACTAAAAGGTATAATCAATCAAGAGTGTTTTTCAATTGAGGTGTCACATAAAATAAAGATATGTTTAATCATTTAAGTATTTTATAAAGTGTTGTTAACTAATTGCATCTTTACATATATGACTGAAATGTGTTATACGTGCATATTCTTTATATTGATTTCATTAATTATAGAAAAAAATATTATTTTAGTTTTATAAAATTGAAAGATAACTGTTGCCCTCTAGGTAAAACCAATCCTATGTTACATGAATTCAATACATGTTGAATAGACTTTAAATTTTTTTATTAGCAAAATTTGAATATGCAATATTTCATTGAAAATGATCTTAATATTAGTTCATAACAAGGTTGAAATTTGATATGAGGCGGTGAGAACCAGGACTGGAACAAGATGATTTCATTGAAAATGATATTAATATTTCATGGAACTTGAGTAATGGCAATCGGATAGACTTTTGGAGGGATGCTTGGCTTGAAGATTTGGGACCATTAGAGAATATGAGAATTGATAACTTCTCTTTCAACTCGGTAGCACCTATGGTTACACATTGCGGGGAGTGGAAGTGGGGCGACATTCAACCTTACCTTCAGAATAAGGTGTTACTTCACCTTGCAGCAGTGCGCCCTCCTCGTCCGTAGAGTGAAGAAGATCGGCCGGGTTGGGCTTGGGATAGAAATCGTCGGTTCTCTGTTGCTAGTGCCTATAAGAGCCGTTTACTGAATACCGATGTCCCGAGTAATAGATTCAGGAGTTTAAAGGTTTTCCGAGAGTACGGGTCTTGCTTTGGTTTATTTGTAAGGAGCGACTCATGACTAATGAGGAACGAATGAGGCAACATATGACCGATGATGCTAGTTGTATGGTATGTGGAGCAGCGACAGAGTCATTATCGCATGTGTTCCGAGAGTGTTTGATGGCAAGGGTGACTTGGCTTCAATTGATTAAGCCTGATAAATTTGACGAGTTTTGTTCAATGCCGTTTTTGGATTGGATCCGGGTGAATCTTCAAGGTCTGGGGGACTTTCCTTTGGTTTCGGATGAGTGGGCCTCGCTCTTCGATACTATTTTGTGGTGCTTTCGGATTTGTTTTTGGGTCTGCATACGTTCTCGTCGCCACCTGTGGAAGTGCAGATGTTGCGGATCTTTTAAATTTGCATGAGATGTAGTTTCTGCTAGCTGTTTTCTTCTTCTTATTCAAAAAAAGAAAAAGAAAAAAACATACACCTAGTTAAAGATAGAATAATCCAGATTGTATATATTCTCCCGCTATAAATGCTGATTTGTCTTATTGTCTATAGTTCACAATCTCATGAGTCATGTTGTTGCTTTCACAGACGAATCATGATCAAGTAAAACATTTGATTTCTTACAGATATCCAAAACAATGATCTATGTGCCAACAAATAATTTTTTTATTTATTCATGTCGCTCATTCATCACTAAACACGAAGAAAGATGAAAAAGATAACAAAGTAGAAACAAAAAGGGGTGATTTTAAGAATCACGGAGCAACTCACTTTTTCTCTCAATTTTAACAGTTTTGTCACTGTAAAGCAAAAAAACCAAAGAGAGAAATCCAATGCCGGTCACTTACCCCGAAAAAGAAATTCGCCGGAAAATCCATCTCCGGGGAAAACTACTCCCCATAATTACAAGAAAAATATATCTAAATCCCCAAAAAGATGTGGTAGAACAGGAGAATATTACAACAATACAAGGTCCTTTCAATGTTAGATTCACCAAGCAAAGAAAAACTTTTTTTATTTTTTCTTCAGACAAACAAGTTTAGTAGCTTTTTATCCGCTTCTCCGGTTTGGACTGCAAACCCACTTTCAAAACACGTCGTCGTAACAGATTCCTCCGAGTTAAACGACGGAGTCCCGGGTCGTCTTTTATCGGAGAGCCGATTGCCTGCGGATCTTGGAGTCAGGCGAAGATCTAGATCGGACGAATGAAATTTACTGAATTCTTCAACTCGGATACGCTTAGGTGAAACCTTAGGTCTCGAACAGGAAAACCGACAGTTTGAGGTAAGATTCATCGCTGTTTCCTGCAACTTCAACGTGTACGTAGTCGTAGCTCCCGATGTTACATCGGATGGCAGTGTGGGAGCCATAAGTTCAGGCATCGCCCTTAGAGTTCTTCCTCGTAAGACGGTTTCCACCGCCGCTTGGCGAACACGTCAGTTTCCTGTCCATAAAAGACCGACGGCCCGTTCACAGGATTCACCGTTCTCCCACAAGCTTCGAACAAAAGTGATTGGAATAAAGCTGATATATATAAATATAAAAGAAACCGATTAGAATTCGCAATCAAAAGAAAACCCAGAAATAAAACTAGAGAAGGGAAGTTGAGAGCAGATACAGGACGTTGAGATTGTTGAAAGTATTAAAATGGTTTTCACGTTTGGTAACCAATTTTGAAAAAATGATTTTCAAAGTTTGGTAAATGTTTCTTTAAAAATGATTTTTAAAATTTGGTAAATGTTTCTTTGAAAAATAGTTTTTCAAAGTTTGGTAGATGTTTGTTGAAAAATGATAATGAGATAATCACAATTAATCCCTAGGTTTTAGGGTATTTACAAGATTAAGTCCTTAAGTTTCAACTATAAATATCCTAGCTCATTTAGCTTCAAAACCATCCCAAAAATCATTTCTTTCTCCCAATACTAGAGAGTTTTCTTGTGAGTAGTGAGTGTTTTGTAAACACCTGTAAATTTTCTCTCTTAGTAAAAGATCTGCAGCAGTCTGGAGACGTAAGCACAATTGGCTGAACTCCGTTATCAATTTCGGGTATTATTTTTCCGCTTTTATTTTTGCATTCTCACTAATCTGGTTATAGGGAAATTACTTGTACTTGGTTTATTTCCCAACAACTGGTATCAGAGCTTTTGGGTTGTAAATTTTGTCAATTTTTTTGGGTTACTATTCGGGTTACTATCGAATAGTGTTATAGTGAAATTCGGTCGATACGAGTCGACGAGGTGTTATAATACCAAAACGAAACGATCCAGCCAGATTCGAGTGGGAGCGATGGCTGCAGACGAAGGGAATGTGAAAATTGAAAAGTTCGATGGTGCGGACTTTGGATTTTGGAAGATGCAAATTGAAGATTTTCTATACCAGAAAAATCTATATCAACCCCTCTCAGGAAAACAACCAGAGGGCATGAAGAATGAAGACTGGGCTCTTCTCGACAGACAAGCCCTCGGAGTTATCCGACTGACGTTATCCCGCAATGTTGCTTTCAACATATCAAAGGAAAAGATCACGGCGGGTCTTATGAAGGCTCTCTCCAGTATGTATGAGAAGCCATCGGCCTCAAACAAAGTTCATTTGATGAGACAATTATTCAATTTGCGGATGACGGAAGGGGCATCGGTGGCACAACACCTAAATGAACTCAACACAATCACAACCCAGTTGAGTTCAGTGGAAATTGAAATTGATGATGAAGTTCGAGCTTTAATTCTCTTATCATCTTTACCAAACAGTTGTAATGCTACTGTTACAGTCAGCAGTTCGTCGGGAAACAACAAATTAAAATTTGACGATGTTCGGGATCTGGTACTGAGCGAAGAAATTCAACGGAGAGAATCGGGTGAAGCATCAACCTCCTCAGCCTTGCACACGGAGTCCAGAGGGAGAACTTCAGAAAGAAATTCAAATCGTGGCAGATCGAAATCCAAAAGGGGAAAATCAAGAACAGAAAATAAAGATTTTACCTGTTATAATTGCGGCAAGAAGGGCCACTTCAAAAGAGATTGCCGAGCACCGAAGAAAAATACCGGCGCACAGGAATCTGTCAACATGACGGAGGAGACAGGTGATGTCATGATTTTAAGCGTCAACAATCCGATTGAATCATGGATTTTGGATTCAGGGGCATCTTTCCACTCCACGCCATGCCAAGAAATCATGGAGAACTATGTCAGTGGTGATTTTGGGAAGGTTCATCTTGCTGATGATGAAACCTTGAAGATCGTCGGAAAATGACATCCGACTAAAGCTGCCAAACCAGACCACCTGGAAGTTGACAGGAGTGAGACATATTCCTGGTCTCAAAAGAAATTTGATTTTTGTAGGACAGCTTGATGGATAAGGATACAATACAACCTTTTCAGGTTGTGAATTGAAGATTACCAAATGAGCACTCGTCATTGCTCGTGGTAAGAAGACTGGTACTCTCTATGTAACATCAAATTTAGAGAATATCATTGCAGTAGCAGATGCTGATGGAAAATCAAACCTATGGCACCAAAGGCTTGGCCATATGAGCGAGAAAGGGATGAAGACACTTTTGTCAAAGGGGAAGCTGCCGGATCTAAAGAAGTAGATGTCGACTATGTGATGATTGCATCTTTGGCAAACAAAAGAAAGTCAGCTTTGCAAAGATTGGTAAGACACCCAAGGCTGAAAAGTTAGAGTTAGTTCATATTGATGTATGGGGACCATCTCCAGTTCCATCTCTTGCAGGCTCATTATATTATGTCACCTTCATCGATGATTCTACAAGGAAGGTGTGGGTTATTTTCTGAAGAAAAATCAGAAGTCTTTGATACCTTCAGAAAATGGAAGGCCATGGTGGAAAATGAGAATGGTATGAAAATCAAGCGGTTGAGGTCTGACAATGGAGGAGAATATAGAAATAGGAGATTCAGAGATTTTTACGCAAACAATGGGATCAAGATGGAGACAACAGTTCCCATGACACCGCAGCAGAATGGCGTAGCAGAGCGCATGAGCAGAACTCTGAATGAACGTGCCAGAAGCATGAGGATACATACCGGATTGCCCAAATTTCTATGGGCTGAAGCTATTAACACTGCAGCTTACCTGATCAACCGTGGGCCCTCAGTTCCTTTGGATGGCAGAATACCAGAGGAAGTTTGGAGCAAGAAAGAAATAAACCTTTCACACTTAAGAGTGTTTGGTTGTATTTCTTATGTACACATAGACTCTGCTGAAAGAAGTAAACTTGATTCTAAGTCCAACAAATATGCCTTTGTTGGTTACGGCGGTGATAAGTTCGGTTACTGGTTTTGGGACTATGAAAATCGGAAGATCATTAGAAGTAGAGATGTCATTTCATGAGAATGTGATAAGTAAACTTGATTCTAAGTCCAACAAATATGCCTTTGTTGGTTACGGCGGTGATAAGTTCGGTTACTGGTTTTGGGACTATGAAAATCGGAAGATCATTAGAAGTAGAGATGTCATTTTCAATGAGAATGTGATGTACAAAGATAAGTCAACTGTAGAATCAAGCAGCTCCAATACAAGCTGAAACAAAGGAATTTGCTGAGTTTGAGGAGATTTCTGGAAATGATGTTCAGATCAGTCCTGAAGCAGTTCAAGAAGAACCAGGCACACCGGAACTAAGACGCTCCTCCAGAATTCCTAAACCAACCCACGGTATTTCTCCTTCTTTGCTCAGGTGAAGCATCAACCTCCTCAGCCTTGCACACGGAGTCCAGAGGGAGAACTTCAGAAAGAAATTCAAATCGTGGCAAATCGAAATCCAAAAAGGGGAAAATCAAGAACAGAAAATAAAGATTTACCTGTTTAATTGCGGCAAGAAGGGCCACTTCAAAAGAGATTGCCGAGCACCGAAGAAAAATACCGGCGCACAGGAATCTGTCAACATGACGGAGGAGACAGGTGATGTCATGATTTTAAGCGTCAACAATCCGATTGAATCATGGATTTTGGATTCAGGGGCATCTTTCCACTCCACGCCATGCCAAGAAATCATGGAGAACTATGTTAGTGGTGATTTTGGGAAGGTTCATCTTGCTGATGATGAAACCTTGAAGATCGTCGGAAAATGAGACATCCGACTAAAGCTGCCAAACCAGACCACCTGGAAGTTGACAGGAGTGAGACATATTCCTGGTCTCTCAAAAGAAATTTGATTTTTGTAGGACAACTTGATGGATAAGGATACAATACAACCTTTTCAGGTTGTGAATTGAAGATTACCAAATGAGCACTCGTCATTGCTCGTGGTAAGAAGACTGGTACTCTCTATGTAACATCAAATTTAGAGAATATCATTGCAGTAGCAGATGCTGATGGAAAATCAAACCTATGGCACCAAAGGCTTGGCCATATGAGCGAGAAAGGGATGAAGACACTTTTGTCAAAGGGGAAGCTGCCGGATCTAAAGAATGTAGATGTCGGACTATGCGATGATTGCATCTTTGGCAAACAAAATAAAGTCAGCTTTGCAAAGATTGGTAAGACACCCAAGGCTGAAAAGTTAGAGTTAGTTCATATTGATGTATGGGGACCATCTCCAGTTCCATCTCTTGCAGGCTCATTATATTATGTCACCTTCATCGATGATTCTACAAGGAAGGTGTGGGTTTATTTTCTGAAGAAAAAATCAGAAGTCTTTGATACCTTCAGAAAATGGAAGGCCATGGTGGAAAATGAGAATGGTATGAAAATCAAGCGGTTGAGGTCTGACAATGGAGGAGAATATAGAAATAGGAGATTCAGAGATTTTTACGCAAACAATGGGATCAAGATGGAGACAACAGTTCCCATGACACCGCAGCAGAATGGCGTAGCAGAGCGCATGAGCAGAACTCTGAATGAACGTGCCAGAAGCATGAGGATACATGCCTGATTGCCCAAATTTCTATGGGCTGAAGCTATTAACACTGCAGCTTACCTGATCAACCGTGGGCCCTCAGTTCCTTTGGATGGCAGAATACCAGAGGAAGTTTGGAGCAAGAAAGAAATAAACCTTTCACACTTAAGAGTGTTTGGTTGTATTTCTTATGTACACATAGACTCTGCTGAAAGAAGTAAACTTGATTCTAAGTCCAACAAATATGCCTTTGTTGGTTACGGCGGTGATAAGTTCGGTTACTGGTTTTGGGACTATGAAAATCGGAAGATCATTAGAAGTAGAGATGTCATTTTTCAATGAGAATGTGATGTACAAAGATAGGTCAACTGTAGAATCAAGCAGCTCCAATACCAAAGCTGAAACAAAGGAATTTGCTGAGTTTGAGGAGATTTCTGGAAATGATGTTCAGATCAGTCCTGAAGCAGTTCAAGAAGAACCAGGCACCGGAACTAAGACGCTCCTCCAGAATTCCTAAACCAACCCAACGGT